TTTTGGTGCCTCCTGTGAGGTATGTGCCTCAATCCACGCAAGAAACGGGATCCAGCCTGAGAGCCGCCTCACATCTACTAAGAGCAGGTCCTCCAAGTCATCCAAGTCAGCCGAAGGAGGAACGTGTGCAATCGTACTCGACAGGCGTAAGAGTAAGTCATTCTTTCCCAGCATTTACATTCCGTCGCATGCCGAGATGGCGGACAAAATCAAATTCCTCGTTCAGAAACGAACTTCCCTGAAATCCCAAATAACCAACTTATCCAATATCGTCGAAGGGGGGAAAATTGATAACGCGACGTTGAGGTTGCGAAACGAGCGTTTAACGCAATTATATCGGGCCTTCGAAGAGTATAACGATGAACTCGCGGTATTAGATCCTAACGCAAATCATCGGGTCGAGTTCGAGGGTATCCAGGAGCGATTTTATGCATTGGCGGGAAAAATCGAGAGTATTTTACGTCCGGGAAATGCGCCGTCGGGAGATACGTCCGAACCGAGCACCAGCGTATCAAACGAAGAAGTGCGGCGCGGTGACATCGTACCGCCGGTTGAGAAACGGCGGATTAAATTGCCCGAAACGCCGGTACCAAAGTTTGATGGTAGATTCGAGGGATGGTTATCATTCAAAAACGCGTTTTACAGTATGATAGGCTCGCGAACGGACCTTGCGGAAATAGACAAATTGCATTACCTTAGATCGGCGTTAACTGGCGAAGCCGCGAACAAGATTAGGATCTTCGAAATTGACGGAATTAATTATGCCAAGGCCTGGAGCTTATTAGAACGGTTATATGAAGTCAAGAGGATCTTGATATCGCGGCATCTCTCTCTGCTATTAAATTTGCCCGCGCTAGACAAAGAAACAGCGAACGGTTTGTCCAGACTCGCGGACGACGCACAGCAACACGTTGCGTCGCTAAACTCTTTGGGAATTTCGGTCGGACACGAGATGATCGTGCATTTGCTAGAGACCAAGCTACCAAGGATAACGGCGGAAAAATAGGAGGCGACTCTCGAAAGAGACGAGTTTCCGGAACTCGACCAGATGTACGAGTTCTTATATAAAACCGCGGTTTGCGTCTCGAAGCGCGAGAGAGCGAAGGTAACTGACATGGAGGGAAGCAGGGGAGAACCATCGAGCAAAAGAAGACGAAGTCATCCCTCGAATCGAGCGTTGGTCGTGAGCGCGGCGCCTAATTGCATAGCATGTAAAACGAAACGGCATCCCTTGTATTTATGCGACAAATTCAAACAGCTACCTATACCTAAACGTATCGAAACGGTGAGAAACGCGAAGGTTTGTTACAACTGCTTCCGCTCACATAGAGACAGCCCCTGCACTTTTTCGAATTGTACAATTTGCCAAAAGAAACATAACACTCTTTTGCATTTAGACAAACATCCGGTTGCGAATCGAACGTCGGCTTCTAAGACCGTGGACACACAGACCGCATGACTAGCCGAGTCGATTAACACCGCGAAGGTAAATCATGCTATGGTGTCATACACACCCGCACCACAATTACTAGCGAGTGCCGTGGTATATATCCGGGATCGCGAGCGTAATCCGATAAAATGCCGCGCCTTGTTAGATACTTGTGCCACAGCTAATTTCATATCGGGATCTGTTCTGAAGCGATTGAACATTCATGTAAGCAGAGGCGCGTTGCCAGTTGGTATGATCAATGACGTAAATACAGAGTCCAGAGGCATAGTACGGATCACTATGCAATCCATGCACGATAATTATCGCAGGGATCTCACGTGTCTGGTGATTCCGGTCATCGCCGATTTAGTTCCCTCAGAAGTCTTTCCGAGAGAAACGGTCAAATTACCATCGAACGTTAGATTGGCGGATCCGAATTTCCACCTGCCGCGCGCGGTTGATTTGCTGATTGGCTCAGGGCTCACCTTATCTCTGTTCTCCGTCGGACAGATCAACTTGTCGCGTGAAGATCACGATCTGTATTTACAGAAAACACGACTCGGATGGGTGGTGGTAGGTGGTGTACCTTCGCAAGTTCCTTCAAAGCCTACGTGTTACATGACGAATCTCGAGAATCAATTAAACAAATTTTGGGCAATTGAAGAAGTCAAGGAAATTAAGATGAAATCAGACGAGCAAATCGATTGCGAAGCGCACTTCGAAAGGACGGTGTCTCGCGACGCCGACGGGCGTTACAAGGTTCGTTTACCGTTTCGCAAATCGAACACGCGGCTAGGGGAATCGCGTTCCATCGCGCTGAAACGTCTATTGTCGCTGGAGCGTAAACTCAATTCAAACGCGGCGTTAGGAAACGAGTACGCGCGAGTAATCGAGGAGTATTTGACCCTCCATCATACGTCAGCAATAGAGGATCCTGATGACGACGGTTACTATCTGCCGCACCTCGCGGTAATCAAAGAAGCGAGTAACACGACTAAGGTTCGAGTAGTGTTCGACGCGTCGGCGAAGACGAACAACGGAATGTCGTTGAATGACGCGTTAATGGTAGGACCTACAATTCAAGACACGTTGTTCTCGCATTTAATTAGATTCCGCACATATAATTACGTCATCACGGCAGACATCGAAAAGATGTATCGCCAGGTGTTATTGCACGAGGAGGATCGCCGTTATCAGAGATTCCTCTGGCGCGTAGATGGTAGAATTAAAACGTTTCAGCTTAACACGCTTACATTCGGTGTTTCGCCTTCTTCCTTCCTCGCGATTCGAGTTTTACAGAAACTTGCGGAGGACGAACGTCATGCGTATATCCTCGAGCGGCCGAGATTCTTACCACACATCTTTATGTGGACGATTTGCTATCCGGCGCTGACACGATCGCCGAGGCGCGTGCCATCCGTGACGAAATGATCGCGTTGCTGAAGCGAGGTGGCTTCTCCATAAGGCAATGGGCATCCAACGACGAGCGCGTTGTTAACGATTTAGACTCCAATGCGTTGCACACTAATCTCGTGTTAAACGTGGATCGTTCCGTAAAGACGTTAGGTATAACATGGAATACGCGAGACGATCAAATGCATTACGCGGTCCGTCCGATCGAAATTACTCAAAGATTGACAAAACGAAACATATTATCGGAGATTGCAAGGATTTTTGATCCAATAGGATTACTCGGTCCGATTATTCTATACGCTAAAAGGCTGATGCAAGACATATGGCGTTCCGGTTTACAATGGGACGAATCTGTCCCACAAGACATATATACGGAGTGGAAGGAATTTGTTCGACAATTAGAATCAATAAATCGCTTTACCTTTGAGCGTAAATTGCTAATAAACGACTATCACGACGTTCAAATACACGGATTCTGTGATGCCAGTAGTGTCGGCTACGGTGCATGCTTGTATATTCGATCTAGCAGGGAAAATGAGACTACGATTGTCAGATTGGCATGCGCCAAATCAAGAGTCGCGCCGTTAAAACCTATTACTATTCCGCGTTTAGAACTCTGTGGTGCATTAATATTGGCACAATTATATCGGGAAGCAAGCGCTATATTTAACGTTACACCTAACCGAGTCATTTTCTGGTGCGATTCGACCATCGTTTTGCATTGGATAAAAACGCCGCCTCACCTCCTTAAGACATTCGTAGCAAACCGAGTCACAGAAATTCAGAACATCACTGGTTCCAACGTATGGCGACACGTACAGTCGGAAGACAATCCGGCAGACGCGTTGTCAAGAGGTCAGTTGCCTCATACTTTTTTGCGAAACAAAATGTGGCTTACGGGACCCTCGTGGTTAGTCAAGGACGAGAGTGAGTGGCCCAATGAGATCATGCAAACAGACGTCGAAATAACAGAATTAAAGAAAAACACCTGTTTGTTAGCGGCGACACACGATATCGGGATTCTCACCAAATACTCTTCCTATTCTAAATTGCTCAGAATCATAGCGTATTGCCTCCGTTTTCGCCGTACCATTAGGACTACCGGCTCATCATCCGCGAGCGAGATTATTGAGGCTGAACAACGAATATTACGGATCCTTCAAACGTCTCAATTCGCCAATGAAATCAAGGAACTCAAACTTAGGGGTTCGACGAACAAGAGCAAAATCACCAATTTAAACCCGTTCTTGGATGATTATGGATTGATTCGCGTGAGGGGGCGTCTCCAAAAATCAAATTTAACATTTACGCAAAAACATCCAATCTTGCTTCCGAGCCGGCATCATTTGACTGATAGCATCATTCGCGAAGTTCACGAGACGCATTATCACGCGGGCATTCAGACCACCTTATTCATCCTACGTCAAAGATTTTGGTTGATGGACGGACGGAATCAAGTGCGGAAAATCGTGCGCACTTGTATTCGTTGTTCACGTTTTAACGCTAACGCGATCGAATATAAAATGGGGAATCTCCCACCAGCTCGCGTGCGTGAAGCGGTGCCATTCGCTAACACCGGCATTGACTTTTGCGGACCCTTCTATATTAAGGAAAAAAAACATCGCAATAGAAACCGCGTTAAGGTCTACGTATGTGTATTCGTATGTATGGCCATAAAGGCAATACATCTCGAAGTCGTGAGCGACCTAACGACTGAAGGTTTTCTCGGGGCTCTGCGAAGGTTTTCTGCGAGACGCGGTTTACCGGAGCGAATTTATTCCGATAACGGAACAAATTTCGTGGGCGCAAATCATCAATTAAGGGAATTGTATGTTTTGTTCAATTCTGAGGAGCACAAGGCCAAAACGAATAGGTTTGCGTCCGAACGTCGAATCACATGGCATTTCATACCGCCAGCCGCACCGCACTTCGGCGGTTTGTGGGAATCCTCGGTGAAACTTTTTAAGCATCATTTCAAGCGAGTAATCGGGGAATCCTTATTCACGTTCGAGGAATTAAACACATTTGTAGTCGAAGTCGAAGGTGTCCTGAATTCCCGACCTATCACCTGCCTATCATCCGACCCGAATGACTTGCTCGCCTTAACTCCAGCCCATTATTTGATCGGCAAACCACTAACGACTCTCCCCGAGGGCGACTTATCCGCTGTTCCAGTCAACCGATTGTCTACCTGGCAGCACATCACTAAGGTTCGTCAAGATTTTTGGGCACGCTGGAGCCTCGAGTACCTCAATGAGCTCCAGGTGCGTCACAAATGGACTAAGGACGGCCCGAAGCTCGACATCGGGACCGTCGTGCTCATAAAGGACAAAAACGTGCCGTGTGGACGGTGGACGTTGGGCAGAGTCCTACAACTACATGCGGGAGAGGATGGTGTCACACGAGCGGTTACCATGAAAACCGCAGCTGGAGAGACGAAGAGAGCCGTCAACTATCTCTGCCCCCTCCCGATTGAAAAATAGTCATATTTATAGTCATATTGGTCATATTTGTACAAGCGATAATTACCACATGTATCATAATATCTCTGTGTCTCAACTCGAAGCGATATAACAAATGCGCAATTCGTCGACGAATTTATACGTTGGAGTACTCCATTATACATATATATATTATAACGCACAACACGCATACGAATCTGATCACTAATCTATAGGATGGTTGATCGCTACCCTCTCAACGGGGGGAGGATGTTGCGTAGCGTCTCTCACGAGTCGAACACGATGGGCGCGTTCCAGCGCATACACGCGATGAGTCAAGGATAAAAATCGAACTTTACTCTGTCGCACGTGGGGGAAGGGCGGTGTTGCGTCGTAAAAGGGTCGTGCGCGACG